AGAAGAATGAAAACAATCCTTTGAAGGTTCCTGAACCTCATCGTCCGCCCCTCATAAATTGGATTTATTTTCAATTAAGTCCTTATTTGGAAAAGCCATACCCAGGATTATTGGGAGCATTAGAACAGAAATGTAAAACATATGGAGCCTTTTGCTTTTTTCATTAAGAGGGGATTGGCCGGCTACTTCTCTTGCTTCCGACAGCAAGCGCCTACAGAGGTCTTCAGCGCCCCTTCAGCAGCGCACTTGAAGAGTGGAGCAGTCAGGCCCTCACACAGAATAGCTTCTTTCATAGAGGAGAGGACATTATGCTCTTATGGAGCTCCCAGCCTGCACCAGAAGGAGTCTCCGCACCGAATAAATGTGCCTCTCTGTAGTCTGCAACCTGGGCATCACACAATCGCTGGAGTCAAGGCATTTCCTGACTTCTTTTCCATTTTCCCTACAGCATACCTTAGTGAAGGGGGGGCAAATCTTTCAAGCTGGGGCGGGGGGGGGGGTATTTATTATTTCTGAAATGAAGAAGAGATTGCAGGAAGGTACCACCGTGTCTGCGTACAGTGCTCGAAAACGCAATACCTCTCGGCTTCTGAGGATCCCAGACACCTCGCCCTGCAGGTGGGCACATTCGGCAGTGCCATTGAAGTTATAACAGAAATTAGGGGCGGAGGATAGATTGTAATAGCGCAGACTTCTGTTCTGTATATAAGATTCGCACCCGGGTCTTCCCCTCTCGAACCTTCCCTTGCAGCAACCCCCCAGGTTAGTCCACACTGTAGAGAGAGGGAACTTGGGCAGCCTGTCCAGCCGACAGGGAGGAGAAGGGTGCTTTAGGGTTTGACCTGACAACAAGAAACTACAATTTCATTGGAAATGTTGTATTTTTCCCAACGGGTCATAAAATAACAGAGTATGATACGAATATATGAAGCACATTAGAACAGTTACAAACGCAAGAAAGGCAATCAGAAAATCTGTCTTGTTTGCTAGTAAGTAGTTAATTGATGTGAGGGTCTCCTTTTGGAAGAACCCAGGGTATCGGCTTCAGCAACATGGCTGAGTAGCTTGTTCCATGCTCCCACAACTCTCTGGGTTAAAAAAAGTGTCTCCAGTTCTCGGTTTTAAATGCACTTTCATATCGTTTCCACTCCTGTCTTCTTGTTCATGCTTCACTGTTCATTCTGAAGAAGTCCAGTGGGTTGTCAGTACTTTGGAGGATTTTAAATATTTTTCTCAGGTCCCCACAACGTTTTCTCTGTCCAAGACTAAAAAGGCTCAGCTCCTTCAGCCTGTCAGTTTAGGATACTCCCTTGAGCCCAACCGCTCTTCCTAGAACTTATGAAGGGCTGGGCTTTCCATTTTCAGCAGGATTTGTACTCGGCAAGAGAAAGACACAGATATGGGATGAATGGTTTAGGCAAGATGGGCAGAACTAGAAATTAGCTGTCTGTGCCCCTGGGGGCTGTAGGCAACCATTAACAATTTTCATAATGAATTTCTGTCAAACCTGATCGATTGTGTGTCTTGTTTCACAGAGAGTATTGAGTATTGGTCCAGGGGTCATGCTCAGCTGCTTTGCTGGTGTTAAGTAGCTGTGTACCTGCATCATTCCCTACACGTTAGAGAGCTTAAGAGAGCTTTCAGTCCTGGAAGATGTAGGGCTCTGCAGGCTTGTTTCTTAGTTTGTCACTTTGACATGGCGTCCGAACAAAGGGGTGAATAGGGATGGGATAAGGATTTTCACAGCATTCATTCATTCATTCCAGAAAGAATGAAGAGACAATGTTATGGGATGGCTGAAGCACGCACCAGGGGATTTGCAGAGAAAGGCTTGTGGGAGTCTGGAACAACCACTGTTGAACAGGATATCCTGGTGTCTTTTTAAGGAATGGCTCAATGAGACCCTCAGATCACTTACTGGCTAACGACCCATTGGGCTCAATGGGCAGAACATGCTCCACCTGTGGAAAAATGAAAGAATGTGAGAATATATGGAAAAAATAAACCAGGCTGGTCGAACGACTGCCTCTCTGTTATTAGTACTTCTTATGCTTTCATTTTCAAAACCAGGCATTTTCCAACTGCTTCATCCAATTCAAGGTTGCGGGGGAGACAGGGCAGGGTACACACACTCACACTCACACTCACACCAGGACCAGTTCTCCGCCAAGCCAATCAACCTACCGGTCTGTTTTTATTTCGACTGGGAGAAAACCAGAGCTCCTAGAGAAAACCCACACGAGCCCAGAGACAACATGCAGACTCCACACAGATCGTGCCCCAGGTCAGGAATCCAACCCAGGGCTCCAGGGCTGTGAGGCAGCAATGTTACATTTCTCAAGCCTGTTTATATAAAAATAACATATCTAACGTGCACTAAATTTCCATGGCAATTTGTCATATTCGAGATATCCCAGCCAATATTTATTTTCAGGTTGTATACTGTAGTTCTGTAGCCATTCATTTAAAATATACTTGGCAGCTGCCTATGGAATATATGCAATGTGTATGTGTTCGCGTTTTGTATGTTTTTGCTTGCTCTCCCATTATCACTTACTGTACAGCTACTGTAAGCATTCCTGTACAAAAAAAGAGTGCTGTCTCAGAGCCAGACACAGGGTATGAAACAAGAGTTCGTTCTCTGTAGAAAAAAAAAACATTGCCGGTATGTGACACAGTGATTTCTTTCTTCTGCTTTCTTTTTGTGTTTGTTCAGAACTGGCAGAGCTCGTTCTCAAAAGTTTCTTTTAATTTGAAAAGCAAGTAAACACATTTTGCTTTCCACCACAGGCCACCTTGAGCAAACTGAAGTGAGTGCCTGTGTGTGGAAGAGATTGGGGGTTGGTCGAATGTTTGATTGAGTTTTGGCTTACCTATAGACAAACAGGGCATCATTATGGGAGTTCACAGGTAATCTGTGTGGTACGTGACAAACTTCTTAAATTCTCTTTCCTCTTTTTTTCCTTCAGCCCACTGGAATCCCAGTTTTTATAGCTTAATATAAAGTGAGTGCTTAAACACACTTTTCAGGAAAGATTTAAATTTGCAATGACAGTAATGTACTTTTTTGTGCTTCATTCACCCTTGGAATCTCCTCAAATGAGATTTAACTTAATTTTCTTACTGCATTTGTATCAAGAATTAAGGCAGGTTTCCAACATCTTTTTTTTGCTAGAAATCCACATATAAACATTATTTTTTGGTAGTAAGAATGTTTGATTTTCTTTTTCTGATTCTGAAATTGGTACACCTTGGAAAGAGTTACTATCAAATTGCTAGCAATGCATTTCCCAGATATTTGAAGTAAAATATGATACCTCCTATAAATAAACTTCATTTCAGACTGTACAAGTTAAGATTCTACTGCTATTTTATGGATCTTATAACTAAAGTTGTATGAATGGACACACATCGAGAGAAAAGATTTTAATGAGAATTTTACAGAATCTGCTGGTGTCATTGACATTAGATCTCTCATATTCAGACTTCCAGAAAGCCTCTGTTCCTTGTCTGTCAAAGCAAGTCTCTCAGTGAAGTTGTTAAACAGTGCTGTAACCTTGATCACTCACCAACACGTATGCTTTTCCCTGCTTTCCCTCACCATTACTTCACAAGAACACCTATTTTGAGGTAATTGAACCTGGGTTACAACAGGAACAAGTCTAACCTGGATCACTACAGGGAAAAAAGAGAGGGAGAGATGGACATTGAGGCAGAATGTACTCCCCCTTTTCTTTTTTTAATCAGTAAAGCTGACTATATGGTTTTACAGCAGGAGAAGCACTACTCACTATGTTAGGATAGTGAAGGACCACTTCTATAGCTTTTTTCTATAGCTTCTTTGTTTTGTTTTGCCTGTAATTGTAAGTTCCACAAGAACTCAACATTGACCTCTTTGAAGCTGTCAGAGATGAATGACGACAGGAAAAAAAATGCACAGAGTTGGGATTTGAAACCTTATGATACAGCTGCTGCCCAGACAATACTGGCAGCAAATGTGTTCTCCATTACAGTAAACACAAATGTCTTTTTAATGACTGTGGGGGTGCCTTTAAGGACTGTTTCTCTTTTCTTAAGAAAACGTATACTGATACCTTGGTGCTACAGGCCAGTAGCTTTTAGTGCGGAAACAGTGTCTTGTTTGTACATTTTTATCTGGTTCAGGTTCTTTGTCACTTCCAGATCACGACAGCTTTGTAACTTATCTTCATTTAGAGTGTTTTTATGTTAAATGCAGGCATCTCTGATCTTCCACTGTGACTTTTCTGATACATTGCACCAGCTGTCACTTAGTTTGTGAAGCAGGGCATGGAGGGGTGTACACAGACTCACAAAAAGCTTGCTCACAGTCATTCATATGAACAGGTCTAGCGATCCCAGAAACAAAAGTCCCTTTCCGAACAGCTGCTTTGCACACAGATTACTCTGATCATGTAGTCTTGAGTCCTTGCTAGGATGTACAAGGCTTTACAAACTTAAGTATGTTCATTTTGTGGTCACAAGGAAACTTAAAACACATTGTTGCACTGTCTAATTTACACATTCTATAATCGTTTTAGGTAATTATACATGCTATAAAACAATGTTCAATTCACTAGTGCTTCTTTATTACTGTTTCTTAAGTCACTGAACATCCTGCATAGATCTTGCCCTATTCTGGTGTTTGAAATTGATTTGAGATGAAAGTCATTATAGATTGAAGCTATCCTACATGATATTGGTTATACATGCTCTTTCTTCTCACATGCACTGCTACCAGGAGCTGAATGAAATACAAGGGATAAAGGAATTCAAATACAAGAGATGAGATTGCAAGCGATCCCTAAAAGTTATTTACTCCTTTGCCTCATAAAAGATCTGGCTTTGAGGTAAACAATGGCAGAAAGTTCAAGAATATGAGTGTGAAATGTTCCTACTGTATGTTTACAGTCTGAATTTACAACATTACAAAAGATGCTCCTGGGCTGAATCTAATCCTGCTTCCTTGTTGTTTTCCCCAGACTCGTTATCGAGTGAGGCGGCCTTCCTGGAGGATTTCATTCTGGGGATCGGAGACACCCTGGACCTGTCCTGTGGGCCGCAGGGGGTCTCTCAGCAGGTGGCCTGGTTCAAAGATGGCGCGGCGGTGTTGCCGAGCAACAGGACCCGCATCGGGCAGAAGGTGCTGCGCATCATCAACGTGTCGTACGAGGACTCGGGGGTGTACTTGTGCAGGCTGGCTCATGGCGGGGCCCTGGTCAGCAACTACACTGTGAAAGTAGCAGGTAAGCCAGCTGGCCCTCTGGGCACTCACTCGGCGGGCAGCCCGGCTGTCCACACAGCCCCTGTCCAGCTCTTGAAGACACGAGTCTTCCCTCATGCCCATGCAGATGGAAGAAGGGGTCAGGCTGTAGATTAAGGGCTGCAAATTCCACATGCCAGCTCTTTGTGACTTAATCGCTCAGCAGAGTGTGAGAGACCTCGTGTTAGTGACTGCACTATTGATGGTTAATAATGTCTGTGAACAAACCAAATTTGGATTAACTGACAATTAAGTGATGCAATAACACGTTATAATTCTCTGCTTTTATATAGTGCTTTTCATCCCACAAGATCTCAATGCGCTTCATGTCTAGGAAGAGGCCCACTTCATCCAGCACCATCCAGCACTGAATCCCAGCTCCCGCATGGGTGACGTGAGGGAGCCATCATGCACATTATTGAGAGGGAACTTTAGGAAGGCCTGACTGAGCAAACCCTGAGTGGAATTTAGCCAGGACACCCCGGTTAATATCCCTTTTCCAAACAGTGCTGTGGGATTTTGAATGACAAAGTAGTCAGGCCCTAACCTACGGCACAGTGTTTCCTGTCGCCAAGATATTAGAGAATTAGTTTGCAAATTCAGGTTCAGAGAGTTTAGCGCCACCACCTTTTTGGTCCACCAACACCCCTTGCAGCAGGAACCTGGTTTTCCTTGGAGGTCTCCCTTCTGACTGGGTTCATGCACTGAGCCAGTCACTGAAGCAACATCACAGCCCCCTGAAATCTAGACAATGTAGAGCTCTGCCTTTGGGGCAGGACCTGGCCTTTCGGGAGGCAGAGTTATCCCTTGTCTAGGGAGTGGTGTAGTTTGTATTCAGACCCCATGAGCAACCAGGATCGAACCCTGGTGCAGGCGGCGGACAGCCAGACTTGTCATATCCTGTCCCAGTACTGACCAGGCCCAGCCTCGCTTAGTTTCTGAGAATGTGCTGTTACCTGTAGGCTTTTATACAGGGTCATCTGCAACCTCTAAACTAAAGTGTTACTGCGGACTGAGTGGTTTTCTCTGACTTGCTCTCTGTTTTATGTGAGAGTGTAGCCTTTGGCTATGCCTGTTTATTTTCCACTTCACCCTGCAGTTAGCACGGAGGTGGCCAGGCGCAGACAGTGGGTCAGCCTTCAGACCCACGAGGGGCAGGCTGGGGGCTCATGTCCTCACGCAGGCACTGCTGTTGTGCCCTCGATGAGGTGCTTCACCCTGGTGGCTCCGCTCCAGCCAGCTTTAGAACTGGAAACCAGCATTGCTGTGGGGTCACTCCTGTGGTGGACCAGCATCCCATCCAGGTGGTGGTGGTGGTGGTGGAGGGGGGGGGCACCTGCTTTCTTTTTTTGCAGCATGACCTTGACTTGTATGTAAACCTAAGCGGGTCTGCTGTGGTGCCACTAATAGAAAAGGTGATACTTGAAGAGTATCGCATGGGCTCTTTTGGTTTTCGAATGCTACTATCGTTTAGATTAAAATAGCAAGGTGTGTTGTAGGAATTCGGTTAGGAATTTTGTAAATCATCTTTACGTGATCTAAAGTCAGTGAAATAGAACAGAGAGCTATAAGCAATATAGGCTCAGCCTCCAATAACGTCAGCAGCTGTCTATCTGAAATGAACTGAAATATTAAATTCTTATTAGTAATATTAATAATTTAAGAAAGCTCTAGCATGTCCAGCACACGTTCCTGAGCTGTGACGTGCAGTGTTAGTGAACTGCAGGTTTTCTCCTCCCTGCAGTATAGCATTGATTGGGAGTCTGAATCTAGCTGTAGGCATGTAGAGGTTATCTTAAACAGATTAGGACACAGCTGCCTGGAATAGGGGGCTTTCTGGGTTAAATAAGGTTAACACTGGCTAACAAGGGAAATGGATTTTGAAAACCCCTAGTACATGTGGCCAAGCCTCTGGGGAAGTATTAAAATCCAGTGAGACAGAAGATAAGTGATAGAATGTCTCTCTTTTCAGAGCATTACCATCAGCACTGCATAGTAACTCACAAATGCTTCGCATGAACGATAGAAACTATGATTTGTAGTAAAATACAAAGCACTGGAGCATATCTGTTGCAATGATATACAGGACTGCGCCTGCACTGGAATCAAGAGTTCCAGGTGCAAAACAGCATGACCCAGGTTAACAGCAGAGGTTGGCACTGGACAGGATTGACCAAAAAGTATTTTATTTTAGTTTGGACGTTGGAAATGGTTGGTGTTTTGTGCGGATCAGAATTTTTGTTTGTTTCCGTTCTTATACTTTTTTTGCGATTTACCAAGTTGAAAGAACGGCCCAGATGAAATCACAGCCAGGTGTGAATAAGAAGAGCGCGACTTGATGTTGAAGAAACTTCCATCAGGTCATGGGCCGTATTGTGTGATCAGCAGGGGGAGAGGTGTCAAGAGTTTTATTTTCAGCTGTATACTAAACAGAACATATTAAATTGAACAGTAACGGTGGAACATACCCATTTTCACTCTGCTCGCTGGCTAGACTGTGGTGCAAAAGAGCTGAGAGTAGCATTGTGGTCTGAAGTTGTTATTTATATGAACAAAACGTTTCATTCTCACCTTGCTGGAATGCATCTAGAGTAGCCCATAGACAGCTTAGCTGGAGCCTTCTACTGTAAATGTCTTGGAGTTTGCAAATCAAACTTACAATAAATAAATCATAGTAGTGTGGGTGGTGGAAGCCAATGTAATGACTGAGAAGTGATTAAATGTGCAGCTACACGTTTCACCACTGGCCTACACAACGCCTTTTTTGAGTTTGGGTTCTTGGCACTATTGCAGTCTTTCAGTCGTTTCCTGGTATTTTTTTTATTTTAAAATCTCCTGTCAGCACTCCAGGCTGAGGATGTACAGTAGGAACCCTGTCTCTCGTTTTTAACCCCCTGTGTCCATGCAAAGGGTTGACTGTTTTAAGGAATAAGACCAGAACACAGGTAACAAGCAACTAATAGAGCTGCTGCCAAGTCACACTCAGAGATTCTGCTCTGGCTGGGACCTCCCAAGTGTAACAGTTCAGCTTGAGAAATATCGGAGCCTTCCGTCTTTCTGATTTTCACCCACACATTTGACCAAAAAGTGAATAGAATAAAATAAAAAATACACCAGAGTTTTTTTAAGACCATCCATGGCAGTCTTTGCTTATAGAAAACTAAGAGGAGGATAAATGCTCGTTTAATTTGGCTCTCATTTGTCTGCAAATTCAAGGTACCAGCTGAGCCTGTTATTGACAACTAATTACAAAGCAATTAGCCTGAAATGCTTCATTATCGAAAGCAGATGGGTTGGCGAGGAATTTGAAACTTTGCTTTCGCTCGCATGTCGGGAATTTTGCCAGCTTAACTTTTTAAATTAGAGTTTACCGCTATTGATCAAAGACAAGCCGAAATTACTTGGCTTGGATCGAGATGCTGTCAATTTAATTTTTTAAAATATAATTTTACCAACAATATTGCTTTTACCTGTGTTTAAAAGTATACTCTTTTCAAAACATATATAAAATATAATTTGTTCTTTTGTAAATAACTTAACATAGGTGTCAGATTGTTTGAAAGAGATTTTTCTGGCAAAGGGTCGTATTTGATGGCACAGTTCCTTGGTAGTTTATGGTGAAAATACCAGTTCTGCAAAGTTTTATGATTCTTCAGGATGCCATGTCTTTCATTGTGAAGCTGTTTTTGTTCCGTATATGCATTGACATTTCATTTAGAATAATCCATTTATATTTACAAAATTTATCATCGCTTTTTTAATAATGCTGAGAGATTATATAAATGAATCAACCTGCGTCTTGGTGGAAATCTCCATGTGGCAACATACAGTATACTGGAGCTGTGATAACAGCTGGCTTTCATTAACCTTCATGTGCAATTGCACTAGAAACCTCAAGGTCAGGTAAATAAAATGATTATGGAGTTTCATGGGCCCTTGAAAATTTTTATATTCTCTGCATGTTGGCATTGATAATAAGGAGAAACCTGAGTGTCAAGAGAGACCTGGATTTGAAATATTTCTGAGTAATAAAATCATTAAATGTCTGTTCTGAGGGTAGAGTACATGATTTTGCAGTGTGGAGCAGTGGTTAGGGAGCTGGACTTCTAGCTGGAAGGTTGAGAGTATAAACGCCTGGCTGAGACACTGTTGTTACGCCGCCGAGCACGGTCCTTCAACGGGATCGTTCCTGTAAAATACCACCCGTGTAGCAGGCTGCAAACGCATGTTGCTTTGGATAGAGGTATCAGCCAAATGAATTTGATTAAAATAGTGTAAATATATTTTAAAATGAACATATTTCAATAAATAAATTAAGGATTTAGGGTAATTTAGGATTGGGTAACTATACTTCTATTCTAGCTGATCTAAATAATTTTTATCTAAACAATTCTATACTACAAACAGAGTTAAGTCATTCCATTTGTGTTACCATGCTCTACCTTGGTGTAAGTGTACGAAAGCATATTTATGCTCATGTTACAGGCAAACACAATATAATGCTGCATACTATGGCTTTCAATGGGCTCCTGAATTGATTTTGAAATCTTACGCATGCTACAGTGCGTTGTCCGGTTATAATCCCAACCTCAGTCTTCAGTCCTTTCATGCATGTGTCTTGTGTCTGGGCACATAGACTGTGGAACTCGCTTTCAGATACTATCAGAGGACCTGACTCAAGAGTGGTTTTACGTCTCGCCTCGAAACCCAGCAGGCATTGATTAATACTTTATTTTCCTCTCCAGCTTTGTTTTTTGTCCCCGGTTTGTATGTACGGTGCTTTGGAATGTCGCAATTTAAAATAACATAGAGGTAATTATTATAATGATGACCATGAATATTAATTTTAAGCATTGCTTACGGCATGTATGAGTTCTTTTTACAGAGAAACAACTTCTCATGCAAATTAGTGAGATATAAATATTTAATCTGTAACCAGTAATATTTTTTGCTGGCAATGGGAATAACTACAAACTCTTTGTACAGTTGCTTTCCACTATTTGTTAGATCCCAGTATATTTGTCACAAATTACTCATACAAGAGTTACTCAAAGTTGGCAGCTCATACTATCTGAAAAGTAAGCGATAAGATCAAATTATCTACGATATTAAATAGCAGGAGTGCCACACACCCTCAGGACTAGCAGGACTATGGCCTTGTAATATCATTTAGCTTTAATCCAGGAAATCTATTCTAAATCTGCATGTTTAGCAACAGGATTGCAGTGCATTAAAAAGTAATTCAGCATTCGGTAATTTATAATAGCTCTCAGCAATGTAACGCTCTTTTTCTGTTTATAGATTCCCTGTCATCCGGTGATGATGAAGATGATGAAGAGTCGGACGATGCAGGTAATGCAGTGTTCTGCTGTCCATCCTCTTCTCTCTGAAATACACGGTGATTTTAATGCTTTGAGGGCACTGGCTCAATGACTCGCCAGTGTGTATTTGCTTCCATTTGGTTTGTGGGGGTGTTTAGATAGAGCAGAGAAGAATCTTCACATGTTTCTTTTTGTGGTGTCATCAGACTTCTTAAATTCACATGTCGCAACAGCTCTAGAGTAGATTTTAGTCATTTGTCTTTTGCAAACTCAGACAGGTATATGCATACATCATTTTGTATGCTGGCTCTACAGGTTGAGTGGAAACATTTTTTCAAGCTAAAGGTGGAGCCTGTGCAGTTGTTGTTTTTTTTAATCCCACATTGTGTTTTCCTCGCTCTCAGCTCCACTGCTCCCTAGATAAGATATTGATCTGTTGAAAATGAGGTGCTATAACAGCACGTACCTCATTCCTGTCAGGATCTGAGGGTTCCAGTCAGACCTGATCGGTTTAGATCTAAGACTTTATAGGTCTCAAAGCCCTGAGCATAAGTCCTTTGAGTCCAACAGTCTTCCACATTGGTAAGACTCCTTAAGGAATATCACAAGACATAGTAAGGTCCTTGGTCATATTTACCCTATTGGACTGGGAATTTTGAATCCCTGTTTTTTTTTACACGGATATCCAGTCACTTTCACGCTGTGGATCAGTGCAAAGAATGAAAGCAAATCATACTTTTTTTAACAGGAGCACACTCGGGCTAGAACTGTAACCACTGGTTTAGAAAACAAGAACATAAGAAAGTTTACAGACAAGCTCATTTAACCTCTTTGGTAGTTAGTAGCTAAATGATCCAAGGATCTGTTCCAGCTGCTTCTTGAAAGAACAGAGGGTGTCACTTTCAACAGCATGGCTGGGTGTCTTGTTACACACTCCCACCACCCTCTGGGTAAAGAGATGCCTCCTGGTGTTAGTTTTAAATGCACCTCCACATCCGGTTGTGCATTCTGGTTTGTTAAATGACCACGGTGCTTATTGAACTCAGTGAGGGGTGACGAAGGAACGAAACCGGTCGTTGAGGTGTCCTTTGTTTATTCAGCGTTCACCTTCCACCTCAGTGGTTTTAATTCAGATATCTGGAGTGTTTATGGCCAGAGATACTCTGAGAGAAGGCAGTTCATGTTCTTAAGCCCTTGAATAACAGGCTTGCGTTAGACTGCGCACTTTGGACACTGAATAAATGGGGACTTCAGATAACTGAGCTCTGGTTGAGTCACTTTTACAGGTATTCCCAGTTACTCCCATGCAAATGGTTACCACTGTTTCATTATACATCGAATCCTTAACTCTCCCTCCCCTCAGAATGGCATAGGCCATGTCATCTGTATTTTTACTTTCAGTAGATGTAATTTATTTCAAACCAAAACAAAATCGTGTTTAGTTTTCGGGGATTTTTCTCTGTCCCTCGGAACAGATGTTTTGGGAATAGGGAATGAGAAGCTGAAGTGCTGGGAGGCGGGGGGGGGGGGGGGGTTGGCGTATTGCGCTGAGAGTGGGGCGACAATCCCGCTGAAAGCATGTGTGTGGGAAGCAGGCCGAAGGCGCTCCGGCTCGCGGGATGCGTAAGAGCAGGGGAGCGCTCAGCTCAGCGCTGACTGAGGCACGGCTTCTGGAGCTCCGGAGGCCCATGTTAAAGCAGTTGGCAGACATCATGCATGGGGGGTAGACAGATATAGAAACTGAGACGGCGTTTCGTGTTTCTAGTGTCCTGTCCTTTGCTCAAGACAGACTACATCGCAGTGTCCCCGTGTGCATTTAGACTGATCTGTGAACACTCCCTACACAGAAAGGCAGCTCGCCGCTCTGACACTGGTCCTGCACGTTTTGCGAAAGACGGTATTAAGGGATGGTCCTCTTACTGTTTCTGTCCCCGCGGATGCCAGACATCAAAACCTACTGATACTGATCTTTACATCTGAAACTGTCGTCAGGGTAGGTCAGATTAAAAGACTGAGAGTTTACAGAGGACTAAGCCATTGGATGTGCCTCATCGCAACAAATTAAATACCACTCAGTGATCAATCGCATACTCTCCATATCCAGTGGTGTTTTCCTTCACATTTTGCCATTTCATTGTTGTTATGTTTCTTTTGTCTGAAACAGTACCTTTTAGCCTAGTACAGAGATATAATCCTAAATACAAGCTTGCCTCGTGACATTCATTTGCCCCTGTGTCACAGGGCAGTAGCATTTTAAAGAAGGGATTAGGAAAAACTTAAAACCTTTTGTGTGTAACGTCCACTAATCCACTCCTAATTAGTTTGGAGAAAAAAGGTCCTTTTCTAAGTAGGTTATGGGACATGTGACATTGAAGCCACAAAAAATGTGAGTAAAGTGCCTCCATTTCTCAAACTCTCAAAGGCTTCAGATGCCGTTAAAACGTTCCAATATCAGACAGCTGTTAGAAACCTCCTGTAAATCTGGTCACCTTTTTGATTTTGCTAATTGTAAATCTGTTGCTTTCAGCGAAGGGCAGATTTTAGAATGATGGCAAATCACGTTAGATAACTTGTCTACATTGAAAACTTAAGTTTAAAACTTTTGTCCGTTGCTTTGTGACACATAAGAAGTCATTTTTATTTTACACCTGCAGGGCATATAAATGTACTACTAAGATAAGATCACTTAAATGTTTCTTTGTAGCTGCTTCATGAAAATAAGCATAGGGTCCATTCTTCTTTCTAAAAATTAAATTCTTTTTCACAATTTCAATCCCCCAAAAATTACAGTAGTTCACATACTTCAAAGCCCCTGATTCGTTTCCATCCTCAAAATATCTGGAATGCTAACGAGTTCTAATCTGTACCGCTCTGTACCTCCGTCGTGCACAGTTCTGTTTTTCCTGGCCGGACTGCAAAACCCGAACGCAGCAGGTTCATTGACTGCACTGTTTGTACTGCGTCCCTGCAGACTGGACTGCGCTCCTTCAAAGAGCCCATGTAATCTCTAATTAAATCTGGCTGTGTACTCACAGGCGTCTGCTAGGCAAATTACACAATTACTTCTGATCCTGTCTGCTGCAAATCTTCATGGCAAGACCTAATCCCGAGCCAGTGTCCCAGTCCTGTTAATTATTCCTAATAAGAAATGGCTACAATTCCTTAACTGCAGCAGGCCATCTATGGGATGCAAATACCTCGGAATTATACGAAAACCCTCCGATTACAGAAACGCATTTGTTATCTTTCTGAATAACATGCAGTTGTAAGATAAATATATAATGTTCGTTTCGCTTTTCAACCAAATTGGGATTTTACTTGAAATACAGGCTCTTAGCTGACACATAGAAGGCAGGACCTCGTCTGGCCGGAGGGAAATTTGTTCCCACACGAAGGGGCCAGTCTTTTCTGAGATCTCCTGAGAAAAGCCCCACACCGTGTTTATCCATTTAATCCTTGGCTGAAGACGGCAAGACGGAAAAACATTTTCAAAGCTGCGAAGCCGCCATCATATAAAAATTCCCAAATGCGAGTTAAGTGGCTGGTGACATGTTTTTGAATCTGGTTTCACAGCCTCTTTGGAGTCAACAGGAACCAAAGCAATCCCTTAGCACATGAACCTCCAAATGCTTAGAGTGGACCCTAAAAGCCTGGGGCTGTCTTGTCTCCCTGAGAAATGTGGCCAGGAAAGGGTTTTGTGTGAAGACCACCGTAGGAGATCTTTGCGCCAACACGTGCAGTAAATCGTCTCTACCCGTTCTAGCTCTGCTGACATGACTTCAGTGCATGAGGGCGAAGAGGGAGGGCTGTTATTGCAGGAAGTTGTGAAATACCTTCTAGGTTTCGGCGGCAAGTGCGTTAAGCTGTCTGCCTCCGTTCGTTGTCTCTGTTTTCACACTTGGCGCGTTCTTGTTTTCACAGTGTAGTCTTCTAGACAAGAAGCCGATCCATCACGTTTACCTTACATGATGTACTGTAACGGCTTCAGGGTCTGCTGCTCGTCACCAGTCCAGGCACTTCAGGCTGACCGCTGTTTTATTCGAGCGGTGATGCACTGCGAGCAAAACCCTTGAGGTTCACGATTTCCAAAAGTTTCCTTTTACATCCATCCTTTCTGTCTTATTGAGGAAAGCAGACAAACATTATGGTAAAGGGTAAATTATAAGTACCACCACTTAAGGGCAATAAAAGAACTAGCAAGAGGCCATTCACCCATTCTGCTCGACAGAATAACGTTAGTGTTCGAGTGTAGTTAAATGATCCAAGGATCCCATCTTGTTTCAACAACAGGGCTTGCAGTGCAGCTTGTTCCAGACACCCACTATCCTTTGCGTAAAGGAGTGTCTGTCTTAATTGCACTCTTAATTTCCCCTTGTGTCCTCATTGTGAAGTGTGAAGTAGTCCATTGACTTAGTCAGTGCCTTTTGGGATTTTGAATACTTACATCAAGTCTTCTCATAATCTCTTGTGTTCCAGACTTCACAGCAGTGGTGTCTGTTGAAAAAACACTGCAGTGCGAGAAACTGAATAGTATGCAGAAGGCATTAGTGGAGAACAGCTATGGGCAGAGACATGTGTGCACCCAGATGACAATGGAAGTATTTTCTAAGGGAAGGCGCAGTAAACATGAGCAAGACATAATCAACCAGCACATTGCTTTGCTTTATTGCCTTCCATAAAGTTCCAGAAAGAAATGTCTTTCCCAACGAAGAAGGAATTTATGCATCATCCTGGCCTCTTGCTACAGGAGAGAATTGGGGTCAGCAGAGCCAAAGACATGCTCAGGGATGTTGCCTGTACAGTACCATGCCATTCATTACTCTGTGGCAGCTCTAATGAGAAAACACATACCTTGCAAACATACCATATTATTGTGACATGTTCTTCCATCTTTTAATCTCCCTCCTGGAACCCTGATAGGTTTAAACCAAATAGGTTTAAATGTAAGTTGGGTTTCAAAGGGGCATTTTGCCCTCCCGATGAAGAGATCGAGAAGGCAAGAGTCAAAGTTATGTTTCCTCGATCCCTTTC